AGTCCCACCTCCCGCCGGATTCCCGCCAAGCCAAGGGGTTCAACAGGGGTTGCTGGCCTCGTCCGGGCATCCGTGATACCAGCTCGCGCCCGATAACACCTTCCCAATCTTCTAAATCCCTATGAATTTCCCTCCAATTCCAACGGTCCGAAAAACTACCTAGAATAATATAATATTCGAAGATACACCATTGCCTCGGACATTTTTATCCGAACGACCGAGAAGAGAGTAAATAAATTACATTTCAATTATTCGATCAACATTATTCGTTCTCGTTCGTGTCAGTAAACGATTAAGAAATATTAACGTCGAACGGGAATTTGAATCTAATCCAACTCCAAAAGTTCCATCTCTAACGTGACAATAGGAATAATCTGTTAATAACAACTAGCGCGCCATCTACGTACGTATCCCTTGTCTTGACGATGATCTCGCGGCAAAGGAAATTCGTGACCCCGTGAAAGAGGCGCGTTTCTTCGAAAACAAACGCGAGCAGGGTTCATTGGCCCGGGGTTTACGAAGGCAGAGAGAGGATTTCAAAGCTTGGCCGGGGACAGAGATGCGGCGAGCAAGCGTGGCCGATCGCACGGGGAAGCTTAACATTGGCAACGCTGACAGTTCATTGACTTGCATCGAACGCGTGCACCGATTGACAGGCCGGGCGCGGAGGTGCAACGGTACATCGTTCTCTCGTCTCTCTGCCGGTCCGTGCACGAAGTTGAGGTAGGCGAGGTCGCGTGTCTGACGTCACGAGAGAGGAGTCACTTGACGACCAACAGTGTGTCGCCAATTCCGTACGCATACGTGCATGCACACGAAGCGCGCGTGCGCCTGCGCCCTGCCAGAGGCGAAGATACGACGACGACGACCACGACGACGACGACGTTCCACGCGTCGTTCGTTACGTAACCGCGCGCGAGGTCGTTGACCGATACGCGGCCGGGAACTTCCTCCGCCCTGACCTACCTTTTCTCATTCTCAATTAGCGGTTGCCGCATGAAAAAACCGAGCGTGCCCCCTCTCTGCCTTCCTTTCCTCATCCTTTTTTCTACCATTTCTCCCCGACATTTGTTTACTTACTTAGATCGGCATCGTAACGTGAATGAAAATATTTCGTATAAACGAAATATTCCCACCTCCGCGATACGTTTGATCAAAGGGATGAAAATGACAAAAAAGGAATTGAGCATGAAGCCAAGGATTATTGTTCGCTTATCGTGGAAAGAAAGTATCGTAGGGTGGACATAAGCCCCGAAAAAGAGCGTACAAATACGTGTGTGTGTATGTGTGTATGTAAA